AGCTCTCAGTTCTAGCTCAATACTAACCCGCTCATGCTTTCTATCAATCTATCATTTACTAACCTTCTGCTTGACGATCGCAGCTGCTTCTCTGCCGGCCTCGTTGCTGATCCTCCCTCTCCTGCAAGATCCCGCTCTTGCTCTGATCTCTACAGGAAGCAACAAAGAAGAATGGTTATGCACCCAAGCCGGCTGCATGAAAGCTCACGGCAAATGCTTCATGACTGCCTCAGAACACATCATCTCTGCTTTTCACCTGGCCAATCTAGAGAAGACAGGCACCGCGACAAAGAGCTCTCTCGAGAAGATCAGTCTTGCTAACATCAAGAAAGACTACAGCATCTGACCTCCACCCTTGTAATGACGAGAAGTGAGAATGTACAAGTGCTAACCATGATTGGGTTGTACACCTTATGGACTACCCCACTACAGCCTACACAAATGTATAAGCTATAATGTTCTAACACACCCCCATAGGCAAACTGGGGGAGAACAAGTGGTCACAAGACTAGTCAAGCAAAGAAAAGCAAAGCAAAGCAAAAGAAAGCAAGCTCAGGGTGGATCACAAAGTCACCACACAGTCCGAGCACAAGAGTAAGGCCACAAGGCCAGTTCACATGCAAGATCATATATATAAAGGTAAAACAAGCAAGGGCATGTATCGAAAGAATACAATACAACAAGATCAAGGAGTGAGCAAGTGAGGCCAGGTAGGCACAAGACCTAGCACAGTACAGAAACGCTGATGATCGCAAGGCGGAAAGGCCTTGGTGAAGATATCACCAGTGTTGGTCTCAGAGGCCACGTAGGTGAGGTGGAGCTGACCACGCTGCCGCAGCTCACGAGCCAGGAAGTAGCGAAGAGCAGTGTGCTTCGTTCTATGCTCCAATCTGTGCTCCCGACACAAGGCCAGCATGGCCTTGTTGTCTACGTAGAGAACTGGAGGAGAACGAGGCAGCTATCCTAGGTCAGTCAGCAGGTAGGTGAGCCAGCGTAGCTCCTCTGCAGCCATGGCCCCTGTGTAGATCTCAGCCTCACAGCTGGAGCCGAGAACAAAGGAAGAGCGGGTAGATCGCAACGAAACAGAGCCAGAGCCAAGGCTGAAGGTGTAACCCTGTGACGACCGCTGCGTAGCCTAGTTGTCAGCCCAAGAAGCGTCAACGTGACCTGTGAGGACTACTCGACGTCACCCTCCAAGCACTAGCCCCATGCTCGATATACTGCACACGTAGCGCAACACCCTCTTCGCTGCAGCCATGTGCTCTGGTCTGTGTCTCCCATGAGCAACATAGCATGCCAAGATGCTAAGAGGGTATGCAAGGTCAGGTCGTCTGCAGGTCATCAGGTACATGAGGCAGCCAACAAGCTCTAGGTACGGGCCACTCGGCTCTACGGACTCATCCGAAGGCAGAGCTGAGAGCGAGTGGCGAGTAGAAAGAGGAGTGGCCTCAGGCGAGGAGTACGTGAAGCCGAAGCGCTGAAGGACCTCCTGCACCATGTGTGACTGAGTCAGGGTAATGGTGCGCTGTGCTCTGTCCCGGATGATCTGCAAGCCAAGGTAGCTGCGCACTTCACCCAGGTTTGTGGACGTGTGTCTCTTCTGCAGCTCAGATTTCACGTAGGCGAGTCCAGTAGTGTCACCAGTGGCAAAGACCAAGTCGTCGACGTACACGAGGATGTAGAACGGCGGCAAAGAAGTGTCGGTGCGTAGATAGAGCGATGAGTCGGCTGTAGAAGGAGCAAACCCAAGAGCCGCAAGTGTAGTCCTCAGTGTGTCGTGCCACTCACGGGGCGCCTGGCGGAGACTGTAGACTGGCCGCCGGAGGCTCCACTGGGTACTACGAGAAAACGACCTAGTGAAGCAAGGAGGGCGGCGCAGCCATATCTCCTCGTGCAGGCAGCCGTGCAGGAAAGCTGTGTTGAAGTCAAGAGAGTGAAGCTCGTAGTCGCGCTGAGCGCCTATGTGCAGCAGCACCCGAAGAGTGGTCATCTTTGGGGTGGGAGAGAAGGTCTGAAAGTAGTCAACTCCCTGCCGCTGATTGAAGCCTCGAGTGACGTAACGCGCCTTGAAGACAGGCGGAGAGCCCGGCGGCCGCTTCACTTTGAAGATCCACATCCCACTGACAATGTTCGCCCCAGGTGGGGGAACCTCGTCGATGTAGGTGCGTGTGGACTTGCAGAAAGCCATCTTTGCGTCCATGGCCGACTGCCACTGAGAGGAGTAGGGAATCTCAATCGCCTCAGCGTATGATCGAGGAGTCAGGATGTCTGGTGCATCCGAGTCTCCCTCAAGGGCAATAAGTGTTGACACGAGATGGGGCAAAGCAGCCGCAAAGCACTGGAACTCCTCCAACCTGTCCTCAAGGATGCCGTGCTAAGAGCACACTTTCCCTCGACGGTCGGAGGACAGACAGACTCAAACTCAGCAACAAGACTGGCAACGTAGTCTAGACGTCAGCGAGCAGCGAAGTCGACAAGCTCAGCAACTAGAGCCAACGCAGTAGTGGACTCAAAGGAAGGGTCGCAGACAATAGTGGCAAGAGGGCGCGTGACCGAAGGAGTAGCAGCACGAAGGGAGTCAGACTACGGGTCAGCAAGAGAAGGAAGAGAGGACTGTGGAGGAGACGGCAAAGGGACACGCAGAGGAGCAGTGGAAGGACGGAGTGCCATCTAGTGTGTGCCGGGGACCGTAGGAGGACGCGGACGTGCAGTAGGACAACTAGTGCGAGCATCACGAACAGGCGACGCAGGACGAGACGCAGGCTCACGAGGCTCACCAAGACCACCAGTAGGACCAGTGTAGGGAGAATAAGCAGGTAGCGGGGAGGCGGGCTGTAACTGGGATTGCGACTGGACAGGCTGTGGACACTCTAAGGGAGGAGCAGGACCAGGAGAAGGAGGGAGACCAAGAACTTGCTCTAGGAGCGGAACGAAGTACGGCCTCAGCCGCTCAGCGCCTCCAGAACCAGCAAGGACGGCACCACTACCCCTAGCGGCAGCACCAGCGCCAGTAGAACCTCCAGCTTGAACAGCGCCAACTCCAGTACCCTTAGAAGCACCAGCGCTAGCAGCACCGCCAACGCCAACACCCCAAGCAGCTCCAGCTCCAGCACCAGCAACTCCAGTAGGACCATCAACACCAGTTGCCTCAGCAACACCCCGAGACGCACCAGCACCAGTAGAGACACCAGCGCCAACACCTCCAGCAGCTCCACCTCCAGCAGCACCAGCACCGATAGCAGCTCCAGCAGCACCCCCAGACTCAGCAGCACGTCTCCAGCGGCGGGGGAACTACTCGCGCAACTCGTGTGGACAGAGCGACTCCCGCCTCGACGAAGCACCGCCGGCGGCCAAACGAGCATACCCAGCACCCCCACGCTCCGCACCCCTAGGCTCAACACCCCCAGGCTCAGCATGCCTAGGCTCAGCACCCCCAGTCTTAGCACCCCCTGACTCAGCACCCCCAGACATGGAACCCGCAGACTCGACACCCGCAGGCTCAGCACCTCTAGCACCACGAGAGTCAACAGCTACCTCGACAAGCTTGACTGCGTCTACGTGGGACACACCTAAAGGGGCAGGATCTTGAGGAGGGAGGGGGTCTACCTGGGTAGCAACTGTCGAAAGGAAGAGCAGCGGCGGGGGGAGGGGGGCAGTGCGGTAGAGGAAGTGACGGTAGTAAGGCACCGACTCGTCAAAGGTGACGTCCTGGGAGGACAAAACACGGTGCGTGGTGGGGTGGTAAAACTGCCAGCCAGGCGCGTTGGGGGGGAAGCCAAGAAAGACGAAAGGAACAGCACAGGGGGATAGCTTGTCCGTAAACAAATCATGAACATACGACCGAGATCCCCAGACCCCAAACGCAGATGCATCACCAACCTTCCCTGTCCACTGCAAGGCGGGGGAGGTTTCTGGCAAGGAAACCTGGGCCTGAAGGTTGAGCTGATGCGCGGCGTACTGAACTGCAAACGGCCACAGAAAATGGGGGGCAGCCGCATGCATCATGGACGTACGAGCGACGTCCATGACCATGCCAATGCGGCGCTCAGCAATCCCATTTTGCTGTGGAGAGGCCGGAAGCCTGAAGGTCTGGCGGATGCCCTGTGCACGACAGAAGGTTCCCAGTTGGGCAGAGGAATACTCCCCGCCTCTGTCCGAGTACAGACGAAGAACAGGAAAGTTCGAGCCGAAACTCTCTCTGAGCTGGAGATGAGCTGCGCGGATCGAATCAATCAACACCTTAGTGACGTCACCCTTGTTGCACAAGGGGAAGACTGTGGTGTAACGCGAGTAGTCGTCAACGACCAGCAGAAAGTACCGCTCTCTCCCCTGCCCACTGACGCGGGCTGGGCCCCACACGTCCATGTGTAGAGTCTGCAGTGGAGCCTCTGTCAAAGGAAAATCGGAGGAGTGAGGGGCAGCGCGCTGTTGCCGCTCGACGCAGGGGATGCAGGTAGGGCCAGATCCCGGAGGAAAGGGGAGGAAGAGACAGAGGAAGACCAGAGACAAGGACACGGGAGGCCATGCCTCGGAGACGAGGCAAGGAGGGGTGGCCAAGGCGGTGGTGCCAAAGGAGAGTCTGGTGGGACAGCAGAGGACACGAGCAGGGGGCAGACTCAGGATCAGACCTGGACGCTGTAGCAAACACCTGACTCGACGTAGCTACCTGGGCAGACTCAGAAGTAGGAGGAGACTCAGCAGTGAGGGTGTACAAGCTCGACCCTGGCCGATGCGTGAACGTGGCCAAGTGTCGGCCTGTCCGCCGGCGGCGGCGGAGGCGCCAGATCTCCCCAGCGAGGGATTTGTGACGCCTTAGGGAACTGGCGACGCCACGCGTCTATCAGGCGACCAAAGCACCGCTGGGTGGAGTGCGGGCCTCCGCACTGCTCACGAGTGTGGTCGCCGGTATGGAGAACGTACGGGCACGGACCAAAACCCCTACCGCGCTGGCGTTCAGTCTACCACTCAGGAAGCTGCTGAGGGGACAAGGTCACACCACTCTACTGCTGCTGCTGGCGCTGACCACCACCAGCGCCACTCCTCTGCGTAGAGTCGCGACTCGCTCCACCACCGGCGCCTCCGCCGCCGCCGCCTCCGCCGCCTCTGCCGCCTCCTCCGCCTCCGCCTCCTCCACCACCTCCGCCGCCTCCGCTCTCTCCGCCAGCTCCACCGCCTTCGCCGCCTCGATTGCTGCCGCCGCCGTCGCCACCCCTAGCACCACTCCCACCACTACCCCCACTCCTTCCATCGCCTCCACCACCACCTCCACCGCCCCCTCTAGCCCCTCCAGCGCCCTTGCCCCCTTTGCCCTTGCCGGTGCAGCATCTCCCGCTTGGGGCAGACGCAGTGCTAATCGACTCGAAACCAGCAAGGTCGGCCGCAGCAGTAGAGGCAACAGAGGGCAAGAGGGGGGAGGGAGAACACCCCTCAAAGACGGGGGTGCGAGGGTCACCACAAGAGGCTCCTACAGCGACTATGCTCTTCTCTATCGCTAGGAGGGCCTTCTCGATGAGGTCAACGGTGAGAGTGGTGGGGCAAACTGAGAGGAAGTGGTCCGTGACTACTCCAAGAGGGTCAAGGAGCTGGGTGATTATGTAGTAGAGGGTGATGTACATGAGCGGGGGGGTTCTTGGCGCAGAACTCAGCAGGAAGCGCAGCGCGGTAGCGAGTGTCACTAGTGCGGAGGTGCGTAATGAGGTCAGCGACTCAGCGGGCCGGCGGTTCAGCTGGTCGGCGCTGCGGGCGCTGGGCGGCAGGGTCGCAAGTGGTGGCGAGGTCGCAGGTGGCGGCGGGGCCTAAGGTGGCGGCGGGCCGCAAGGGTGGGCGGGGCCGCGGTGGCGACGGGGCTGAAGTGGGCGACGTAGCGGGGCTGCGACGGGGCCGTAGCGGAGCCTAAGTGGGGCCATAGCGGGGCCGACGGGGCCAAAGCGGGGCCTAAGAGGGGCCGTAGGGGGGCCGACGGGGCCATAGCGGGGCCGTTGCAGGGCCGTAGTGGAGCCTAAGCGGGGCCGACAGGGCCGTAGCGGGGCCGACGGGGCCGGAGCGGGGCCTAAGCGGGGCCTATGTGGGGACGCAGCGGGGCCTACGGGGCCGTAGCGCGGCCGTAGCGGGGCCTAAGCGGGGCCGACGGGGCCGTAGCGGGGCCGTAGCCGGGCCGTAGCCGGGCCTAAGCAGGGCCGACAGGGCCGAAGCGGGGTCTAAGCAGGGCCGTAGCGGGGCCGACGGGGCCTAAGCCGGGCCGTAGCGGGGGCGTAGCGGGGCCGTAGCGGGGCCGACGGGGCCGTAGCGGGGCCGTAGCGGGGCCTAAGCGGGGCCATATGCGGCCTAAGCAAGGCCGTAGAGGGCGGCTCGAGGGGCAGTAAAGGCGGCCAACAGGGGCCACTAAGGCGGCTCGAGGCGCTACTCGGGTTAGGAGCTAAACGTGCTCCGCGCAGGGAAGGAAAAAAGTTCGTGGTGGGCCCTAGGCAGTATTCCCACTCGGGAACCTGCTCGATACCATGACGAGAAGTGAGAATGGAGTGAATGAACTATGAAACAGTTGGGTACAAGTGCTAACCCTAATTGGGTTGCACCTTTTATGGGCTACCCCACTACAGCCTACACAAATGTATAAGCTATAATGTTCTGACATGTAACCGCGGCATGTGCTTGTTCGGTAGTCAGTGTAGTTTGTATCATACCTTTTATAAGCCTATGGATGTCAAGGGGCTGCGAGTCTGTAGTTAAATGATTAACAAGAAAAACCTTCTTATAGTCACCGGTCTCTGTCATAAACAAGAAGTTATTGAACAACAAAAGATTGCAATACAAGTAAGAAACCCTAAAGTTGTGTACCCCCTAAAGGCTAACCCACTACAGCCTACACATCAGTAACACATATATAATGTTTGACACACCCCCATAGGCAAAGTGGGGGAGGGCAAGGGGTCACAAGACCAGTCAAGAAAGGCAAACAAGCTCAGGGTGGATCACAACGTCATCACAAACTCTGAGCACAAGCAAAGGGCCTCAAGGCCAGTTCACATGCAGAGGCATATATGCAACAAGAACAGCAAGGTGATCTGAACCTAGCAAAGCAAACAGGAAGGTATAGATATATAGAGATCACAGTACAGGCAAAGCCTACAGCAAGTGAGGAAAAGTGGGCACAAGCCCTAGCAAAGTGCAGAAACGCTGATGATCACCAGACTGAAGTGCCTTGGTGAATATATCAGCGGTGTTGGCCTGAGTGGCCACGTAGCGCAGACAAAGCTGACCGCACTGCTGCAGCTCTCAAGCCAAGAAGTAACGCAGAGCAATGTTCTTCGTTCTGTGCTCCAGTCTGTGCTCCTCACACAAGGCAATGGCAGCCTTGTTGTCGACGTACAGCACTGGAGGAGAACTAGGCCACTCTCCCAAGTCGGTCAGCAGGTAGGTGAGCCAGCGTAACTCCTGTGCAGCCATGGCTGTGGCGTAGATATCAGCCTTTCAACTGGAGCTGAGAACAGAAGACGAGCGAGTAGAACGCCAAGAAACTGAACTAGAGCCAAGGCTGAAGGTGTAACCCTGTGACGACCGATGAGTAGCCTGGTCGTCAACCCAAGAAACGTCTGAGTGCCCAGTAAGAACAACTGAGCTCCCTACTCCAAGCACGAGCCCCATGCCCGATGTACTGCGAAAGTACCGCAATACCTTCTTTGCAGAATCCCAGTGCACCTTTCAGTGCCTACCAGCAGCCACGTAGTGGGCCAGAAGGCCAAGAGGGTATGCTAGGTCAGGACGAGTGCAAGTCATCAGGTACATGAAGCAACCAACTAGCTATGGGAAAGGACCAGTCAGCTCTACGGACTCATCCGAAGGGAGAGCTGAGAGCGAGTGACCTATAGCCAGAGGAGTGGCCTGTGGTGAGGACCAGGTGAAGCCGAAGCGCTGAAGGACCTGCTGCACCATGAGTGACTGAGTCAGTGTGATGGTGCGGCGTGCTGTGCCCCGGGTGATCTGCAAGCCATGGTTGCTGCGCAGTTTACCCAGGTCTGTGCACATGTGTCTCTTCTGCACCTCCAACTTCACTTGGGCAAGAGCATCAGTGTCAGCAGTGGCAAAGACGAAGTCGTCCGCGTATACAAGGATGGAGAACGGCGGCAGCGAAGTGTCGGTGCGCAGAAACAGCGATGGGTCAGCAGTAGATGGCGCGAACCCAAGTGCCGCAAGAGTAGTCCTCAGTGTGTCGTGCCACTCATGTGGCGCCTGGCGGATATCGTAGACTGGACGCCGGAGGCTCCACTGGGTACCAGGAGGAAACGACCCAGTGAAGCCAGGAGGGTGGCGCAGCCAGATCTCCTCATGTAGGCTGCCCTGTAAGAAAGCTGTGTAGAAATCAAGAGAGAGAAGCTCGTAGTCACGCTGAGCAGCAACGTGCAGTAGCACCCAAAGAGTGGTCATCTTCGGGGTGGAGGAGAAGGTCTGAAAGAACTCTACTCCCTCTCGCTGACTGAAGCCTTGAGCCTTGAAGAAAGGCGGAGAACGTGGTGGTCGCTTCACCCTGAAAATCCACATGCCACTGACGATGTTCACCCCAGGAGGGGGAACCTCGTCAACGTAAGTGCTTGTGGACTTCCAGGATGCCATCTCTGCATCCATGGCTGACTGCCACTGGTCACTGTGGTCAGCATAAGTGCTTGTGGTCAGGTGTCACCAGCACGAACAGGTGACACACGACGCAACACAGGCGATACACGACGAGACTCAGGCTCACGACGCTCTGTAAGACCGCGTGTCGGACCAGTGTAGGGAGAAGGACCAGGAGGTGGCGAGGCAGGTGGGAGCTGGGACTGCGACTGGACAGGCGGAGAACACTCTAAGGAGGGAGGAGGACTAGGAGGAGGCGGCTGACCAAGAACCTGCCGAAGGAGCGGAACGAAGTACGGCCGCGACCGTGAAGCGCCCCCAGAAGTTGCAGGGACAGCACCAGAACCTCCAGCCAACCTAGTACCAGCAGCACCTCCAACAGCTCTAGAGCCTCCACCAGCACTAGCAGCATCTCCAGCAGCTCCAAAACCTCCAGTAGCACCAGCAGTACCTCCAAGATCTCCAGTCGCACCAGCAGCACCTCCAGCAGCACCAGTGCCAGTAGTACCTCCAGCAGCAGGGCCTCGAGGTGGTGGTGCCTCAACACGAGGAGCTCCACTCCTGAGGCTACAGCACCGAGCGTACCACTCACTTAGCTGCTGAGGGGAGGGAGGCTCTAGCTGGGGCACTGTACCTGCTAGGCCACCAGCCCCGACTCCAGCAGACCCCCTAGCTCCAGCAGCCCCACGACGGAGGCTGTAGCGCTGAGAGAACCACTCATGCAGCTGCTGTGAAGAGGGAGCGCCACCAGGCTCAGCACCCCCAGTCTCAGCAACCCCAGGCTCAGCACCCCTAGTCGCAGCACCTCCAAGCTCAGCACCCAAAGTCTCCGTACCCCAACGCTCAGCAACCCCAGTCTCAGCACCCCCAGTCTCAGCACCCTCAGGCTCAGCACCCCTAGTCTCCGCACCCCCAGGCTCAGCACCCCCAGTCTTAGTGCCCCCAGACCCAGCACCACCAGGCTCAGCACACTCAGTACGTCGCGTAGGACCAGAGTCAACAGCTACCTCGACAGGCTCGACCGGGTCTACATAGGAAACATCTGAGGGAGTGGCACCCTGGGGAGGGAGGGGGTCTACCGATGGGACACTTGGGGTGAGGAAGAGCGGCGGGGGGGGGGGGGAGAGCGGGGCAGTGCGGTAGGGGAAGAGATGGTAGAAGGGAACCGACTCGTCGAAGGTGACGTCTTGAGAGGCGAAGATACGGCGCGAGGTGGGGTGGTAAAACCGCCAGCAAGGCGCGTCAGGGACAAAGCCTAGGAAGACACAAGGAACCGCACGGGAGGAGAGTTTGTCCGCGGACGTATCGCGGACAAAGGCTCGACATCCCCAGACTCGTAACACCGACGAGTCGCCAACCTCCCCCGTCCAACGCAGGGTAGGCGAGGTCTCCGGAACAGAGACACAGCGCCAGAGGTTGATATGATGCGCAGCGTACTGCACTGCAAACGGCCATAGGAAATGGGGAGCAGCCGCATGGATCATGGAGGTACGAGCGACCTCCATGAGAAGACCAATGCGGCGCTCAGGAACCTCATTCTACTGCGGAGAGGCTGGGAGAGTGAACGTCTAGCAAATGCCGTGCTCTGCACAGTAGGCTGCTAGGAGGTCAGAGGAAAACTCGCCTCCTCTGTCAGAGTGCAGATGTAGGACAGGAAAGTCCAACTGAAACCGCTAGCGGAGCTGGAGACGAGCAGCGTGGATCAAGGGGATCAATACATCAGGGACCTCACCCTTGGTACGCAAGGGGAAGACCGTGGTGTAGCGCGTGTAGTCGTCGACTACTAGCAGAAAGTACCGCTCGTGGCCCTTTTCCCGGCCGCGGGCGGGGCCCCACACGTCCAGGTGGAGAGTCGGCAGGGGAGCCTCTGTGGGAGGGAACGAGGAGGAGTGAGGAGCGGTGCGCTGCCGCCCCTCGACAGACGGAAGACATGGAGGAGCAGGCGAGGGTGGTAGGGGAGGGAGAACGCTGGGAAGGCCAGAGACAAGGTACTTGGAGTGCATGCCGCGAAGGCACTGCACCGACGGGTGACCAAGGCAGTGGTGCCAGAGGACAGTCCTGTGCGACAGGGAGCGACACGAGCAGGGGGCAGACAGCTGACCTGACGCAGAGGTAGACGCTGCTACCTGAGGGGACTCAATGGTCATTGTGTACAAGTCCGGCCCCGGCTGCCGAGTGAAGGTAGCCAAGTGACGACCCGTCCGGGCACACATGCAGTGCGTAACACGCTCGTAGGCCGGGGTGAACTGGTGAACACTTGCGTCCTAGAGCGCGGAACCCGCCACCAAGTTCGTAGAGAACGAGGGGAGGTAGAGGCCCAACAGCGTGCCAGACGGGACAGCAGGACAAGGGAGGGCAGTGGTGGAGGTAGCAAGGACCGGACCTCCAGCCAGGGAGATAGCAACTGGTCTAGGGAGCTGCTCTAGGGCAGTGCGGTCACGAAAGAAACAGCGGGAAGCACCTGAGTCCAGTGTGAAGGTGTGCAGTGCCTCAGTAGGTGCGGTACCAGCAGACGCAAACGCACTAGCACCTAGGGCAGTAGCCTCACCATGACCTGGAGCAGCAGACGCACTAGCACCTAGAGTTGCAGCCTTACCGGTCGCAATACCTGGGTCGGGCGGTACACTCAGGTAACAGTCACCCTCAACACTAATAGTCAATACATACATAGCAGCAAGGATAGCATCATAATCAAGAGCAAAGATATCAATTCCTTTCTTAAGCAGATCAGCCCAGCGGGGCAGCTTAGAGGTGTCAGGGAACTGCTCGCGCCAGGCGTCATCGAGGCGAAAGAAATAGCGCTGCACTGTGTGAAACCTCCCACAAATCTAACAAGTGTGGTCACCTGTGCGGATGACGTACGAGCAGGTACCCCCACCCCCAGACCCCCCACGCTGAGAGTACCACTCACGGAGCTGCTGGGGCGAGGGAGTCTCGCCGGGACGGTGCTGCTGCTGCCTCTGGCCACTGCCGAGCCCCCCACGTTGCACCGCTCTACCGCGACCGCCACCCGCTCCACTACCGCCACCACTACCACCACCGCCCCTACCACCCCCACCACCTCCGCCGCCACCACCCCCTGTGCCGCCACCGACCCCCCCACCACCCGCGCCACTCCCACCTCCGCCGCCACCCCTGCCCCTCCCACCCCCTCCACTGCCGCCGCCCCCGCCTGCACCTCCACCACCCCTGCCCCCCTTGCCCCTGCCGTCCTTGTGCCTCCCACTAGGAGCGGACGCAGCTCCGACCCCCTCAGCTCCGAGGAAGTCGATAGCAGCAGCAGATGCAATGGAGGGGAGGAGGGGGGAGGGGGAGCACCCCTCAAAGAAGGGGGTGCGGGGGTCACCACGAGAGGCACCTACATCTATAATGCTCTTCTCAGCTACTAGGAGTTCCTTCTCGAGGAGGTCGACAGTGAGGTCAGTGGGGGAGAGGGCAAGAAAATGGTCCTTGACTGTGCGAAGGGAGTCAGGGAGGCGTGTGACAAGGTGGTACAGTGTGAGGTACATCGGGGGGGAGGGGGTTCTTGGCGAGGAAATCTAGGGGGAGTGCGGCACGGTAGCGGAGGTCACTGGTACGGAGGTGGGTGATGAGGTCAGCGACAGTCGTAAAGGCGGACAGGTCGGGGAAGATGTAGGGCAGTGAGAGACGGCCTATGGCAGCAGTGGTAGGGGAGGAGTAGCGTGCGACTACTGCGTTGTATAGCTCCCTAGCAGTCTTATGCTGGCCGAAGTGTTCGCGCTCATCTACCGGCAGGTGGTTGCGAACGGCTAGGCGGGCGTGAGCATCACAGGTCTGCCACTGGGAGCGAGGAGTACTGTCAGCAGCAGCGGGAGGTGCGGGAGCAGCGCCTGACGTGTGGTCGTACAGGGAGACATCATCCTTGGCAGTGATCTGGAGGAATAGGTGGAGGTCATCAAGCCAGACATCGAACCTAATCGGGCGGCCCTCAGCGTCAAAGGTGAGAACAGTGGGACTGGCCATAGTGGCAGCAGCAGAAGGAGAAGTAGCAGAAGCAGTAGGAGCAGGAAGAGCAGTTGCACCAGGTAGGGCGGCGCGGCTCAGTCAGGGCGGTGCAACTCGGGCGGCGCGACTCGGGCGACGCGGGTCGTGTAGGTAAGGTGGTGCGACGGCGGGCCTAGGCTGGGTGCGCGGCAGCGCCTAGGGTGCAGCTGCGCGCGGGCCGCGGTTGCGTTCTAGCGGCTGAAGTGGGTCGCGCGCTGCAGCAGCCAACGCACGATCGTCGCGGCGCGCTGGCTGCGACCTGCGGGTGGGCGGCTGTGGGTCGCGCGTCAGCCTAGGGGCTAGCAGGGGCCTACGGGCGACGGCTTGCTTGGGCGACGGCTTGCTGGGGCTCGTGCGAAAAATCAGGCTGCCCTAGGCGGCGGTTTTCCTACATGCGCTAAAACGGCGGGGCCGCGCTCGGGCTGCTAGCGGGCTGCACATGGGCAGCGTGAGAGGAGAGCGCACGAGGGCGCAATAGGGGAAAGGCGCACGAGGGCACCTCTAGCGGAACGGTGGGCCCTTAGGTCTAGAACCTAAGCTCTTAATACCATGTCAGAAACAAGAAGTGATTGAACTACAAAAGATTGCAGTACAAGTATGAAACCCTAGAGTTGTGTACCGCCTAAAGGCTAACCCACTATAGCCTACACAGCAATAACACATATATAGTGTTTGACAGTCTCAACGTCAATAGTTTAGGAGATGGCGTTAAGCAAGACAGAGTCACTGATTGGTTGAAGGACGCAGCAAACATAGTAGTCCTAACTAACACTAGATTAGTAGACACTCACCCGTACTGGTGATCACACAAATTTCAAACGGTCGCAGCAGCCTCACCTAGAACGAAAGCCGGCGGTGTAGATGTCCTCTGAAGAAACCCGTCCTTAGTAGTCTCTAACACCTCTCCTCACGCATCAGATTGCATCATTAACACAGATGTCCACGGTCATGGCATTCAATTTACCTTACTAGCTGTTTACCTTCCACCAGACCTCGCTAACAGAACTCCTTTTGTCCTTCATGTTCTCGATCCGGTAGTTCATCAAGTACCTCCAAGTTCCCACTTACTAATCCTAGGAGATTTGAACATGGTGGAGGATCCAGATCTGGACCGCACATCAGGACATGGTACATCAGCCGAAAATGACAGACTTTTCAATTGCTGCCAAGCATTCCAGCTCTCTGACGCTTTCCGAACGCTCTACCCTCGCTGCAGAGAATACACATTCTACTCACCGTGTCAGAAGGCCAGTTCTCGGATCAACAGAGCCCTGGTCTCCCTCTCCCTTTTACCTTTCCTTGCTGACTCCTCGCATATCACTCCGGCGGACAAGGTTTAGGGTTAGGATGGAGGCTTCCTTGGCCCCAAATCGCGAATGGATCCAGGTATTTGGAGGATGGAGGCTTCCTTGGCAAATAAACCTGGAGTAAGACGGATCATCGAAGAAGTGTTATCAAAGATACAGATGATTGACGGGAAGGGCTACGAGATGATGATTGCAAGGCTCAACGTGACACTTCGAGCACACACAAGGGAGAAGAACAAGAGGGTACGGGCGATATTCACGCACCTAATGTCGGCTGTCGCAATGTTATGGCAGGCAGCAATGGCGGATCCTAGCTGCAGCCATCTGCGAGCGGTGGTGGAGGAGAAAGAGGGGTCGCTAAAGGAGTACCTTGCCAGCAAGCGGGATCGGCAACACCTGATGGCGGGTCTCGACAAGGAACTTACCGGGGAAGTCACTTGGAAGCAGCTGTCTGCGCTGACTAAGGCGCGGAAAAGCAAGACGATGGTAAGTGATATCAAGGCTGGGGGATCTATCCAGAGCTCTCATTATCAGGGTAAAACACCTTGATTGCCCTGACTGGCGGCCGCTTTTCTCAGTTACCCTTTCCCAAAAAGGTAGTGGAATATTTACCCTAGGCCAGAAAGTGTAAGTTTTTTTTCCACTTTGAATAACAGTGTAAGGGATTTGTTTCTCTGACTGTGCTGTCAGAACACTATAGCTTATACATTTGTGTAGGCTGTAGCGGGGTAGCCCATAAGGGGTACAACCCAATTAGGGTTAGTACTTGTACCCAACTGTTTCATCCATTCTCACTTCTCATCCTGGTATCGAGCAGGTTCTCGAGTGGGAATACAGCCTAGGGCCCACCACGAACTTTTTTTTCTTCCTTGCCCGAAGCGCGCTTTGCTCCTAACCCGGGTAGCGCCTCGAGCCGCCCTTAGTGGCCCCCGTTGGCCGCCCTTACGGCCCCTCGTGCCGCCTTCTACGGCCCCTTACGGCCCCGTCTGACCCCTTACGATCCCGTCGCAACCCCGCTTAGGCCCCTTACGGCCCCATCGCGGCCCCGCTTAGGCCCCTCACGGCCCCGTCGTACCCCTTGCGGCCCCGCCTAGGCCCCGTCGCGGCCCCGCTTAGGCCCCTCACGGCCCCTTCACGGCCCCGCTTAGGCCCCTCCGCGGCCCCGTCGTACCCCTTGCGGCCCCGCCTAGGCCCCTTCGCGACCCCGTCTGGCCCCTTACGGACCCCTTTGCGGCCCCGCCTAGGCCCCTCCGCGGCCCTGTCTGGCCCCTTACTGGCCCCTCAACGGCCCCGCATAGCTCCTTTACAGCCCCGCTTCGGCCCCCTTTGCGGCCCCTTTGCGGCCCCGCCGACACCTGCGGCCCCGCAGACACCTGCGGCCCTGCAGACACCTGCGGCCCCGCCGCCACCTACGACCCCGTCGTCACCTGCGGCCCCGCCCACCCTTGCGGCCCCGTCGCCCACTGCGGCCCCGTCGCCATCTGCGGCCCCGCCCACCCTTGCGGCTCGCCGCCACCTAAGGCCCCGCTGCCACCTGCGGCCTCGCCGCCACCAGCGGCCCCGCCGCCCAGCGCCCGCAGCGCCAAGCAGCCGAACCGCCGGCCAGCTGAGCCGCCCGACCGCCTGAGCCGCCCATCAACTCTCTTCGAGTAGTCACGGACCACTTCCTCTCAGTTTACCCCACCACTCTCACCATTGACCTCCTTGAGAAGGCCCTCCTAGCGATAGAGAAGAGCATAGTCGCTGTAGGAGCCTCTTGTGGTGACCCTCGCACCCCCGTCTTTGAGGGGTGTTCTCCCTCCCCCCTCTTGCCCTCTTTTGCCTCTACTGCAGCGGTCAACCTTGTTGGTTTCGAGTCGGTTAGCGCTGCGTCTGCCCCAAGCGAGAGATGCTGCACCGGCAAGGGAAAAGGGGGCAAGGGCGCTGGAGGGGCTAGAGGGGGCGGTGGAGGTGGTGGTGGAGGCGGTGGAAGGAGTTGGGGTAGTGGTGGGAGTGGTGCTAGGGGTGGCGACGGCGGCGGCAGCAATCGAGGCGGCGAAGGCGGTGGAGCTGGCAGAGGGAGCGGAGGCGGCGAAGGTGGTGGAGGAGGCGGAGGCAGAGGAGGCGGCGGAGGCGGCGGAGGCGGCGGCGGCGGAGGCGTCGGTGGTGGAGCGAGTCGCGACTCTACGCAGAGGAGTGGCGCTAGTGGTGGTCAGCGCCAGCAGCAGCAGCGGAGTGGTGTGACCTTGTCCCCTCAGCAGCTTCCTGAGTGGTAGAATGAACGCCAGCGCGGTGGGGGTTTTGGTCCCTGCTCGTACGTTCTCCATACCGGCGACCGCACTGCTGAGCAGTGCGGAAGCCCGCACTCCACCCAGCGCTGCTTTGGTCGCCTGACGGACGCGTGGCGTCGCCAGTTCCCTAAGGCGTCACAAATCCCTCGCTGGGGAGATCTGGCTAAGGCGGGGGTTGCGATCTTTGATCTTGACTTTGATGCTATTCTTGCTGCCATGTATGCTGTTGCTGATAGTGTTGAGGGTGCCTGTTACCTATGTGTACCGCTTGACTCGGGCATTGAGGCTGGTGCTCTAGGTGCTAGTGAGGCTGCTGCTCTAGGTGCTAGTGCGTCTGCTGCCCCAAGTGCCTGTGCGTCTGCCGCCCCAGGTGCTGGTGAGTCTGCTATCTTAGGTACTACGTTGGCTCAGGCCTTCCACACCTCACCCTGGACTCGGGTGCGTCCCGCACCTTCTTTTGAGACCGCACCACTCTTACGCCGCTTAGTCGGCCGGTTGCAGTCTCCCTGGCAGAGCCCTCTGGGGGTCCTGTCCTTGCTAGCTTCTCCACTGTCCTTCCGTGCCCTCCAGCCCCCTCTGGCACCCTGTGAGGTCTCTACCTCCCCTCGTTCTCTACAAACTTGGTGAGTGGAGCGGACCTACATGATCGAGGGGTTGACCAGTTTGCTCTTGCGACTCAGCCAGTGACCCACAGCATGTGTGCTCGGACAGGCCGACACTTGGCCACGTTCACGCGTCGGCCAGGGTCGAGCCTGTACACCCTTGAAACTGAGTCTCCTCCTACTCTTGAGCCTGCCCAGGTAACTCCGTCGAGTCAGGTGTTTACTGAGGCGTCCAGGTGTGGTCCTGAGTCTGCCCCCTGCTTGTGTCGTCTGCTGTCCCACCAGACTCTCCTTTGGCACCACCGCCTTGGTCACCCCTCCTTGCCTTGTCTCCGAGGCATGGCCTCCCGTGTCCTTGTCTCTGGTCTCCCTCGGTCTCTCCCTCCCCTTCCTCCAGGGCCTGGCCCTACCTGCGTCCCCTGCGTCGAGAGGCGACAGCGCGTCGCCCCTCACTCCTCCGAGTTTCCTCTGACAGAGGCTCCGCTGCAGACGCTACACATGGACGAGTGGGGCCCAGCCCGCATTAGTGGGCAGGGGCGAGAGCGGTACTTTCTGCTGGTCGTTGACGACTACTCGCGTTACACCACAGTCTTCCCCTTGCGCAGCAAGGGTGACGTCACTGAGGTGTTGATCGACTGGATCTGCGCAGCTGGTCTTGAGCTCAGAGAGAGTTTCGGCTCGAACTTTCCTGTTCTGCGTTTGTACTTGGACAGAGGCGGGGAGTTTTCCTCTGCCCCTCTAGGAACCTTGTATAGTGCAGAGGGCATCCGCCAGACCTTCACGCTTTCGGCCTCTCCACAGCAAAATGGGATTGGTGAGCACCGCATTGGCATGGTCATGGACATCGCTCGTACGTCCATGATGCATGCGGCTGCCCACCATTTTCTGTAGGCGTTTGCGGTTCAGTACGCCGCGCATCAGCTCAACCTTCAGCTCCGGGCCTCCTTGCCACGGACCTCCCCCGCCTTGCGGTGGACACGGAAGGTTGGCGATGCGTCTGCGTTTCGGGTCTGGGGATCTCGGGCGTTTGTCGGCGACTTGTCTGCGAACAAGTTGTCCCCCCGTGCTGTTCTTTGCGTCTTCCTTGGCTTCCCCCCCGACGCTCCCGGGTGGGAAATTTACCACCCCACCTCGCGCCGTATTCTGTCCTCCCAGGACGTCACCTTTGACGAGTCGGTGCCTTACTACCATCTGTTCCCCTACCGCACTGCGCCCCCCCCCCCCCCCCCCCCCCCCCCCCCCCCCCCGCCGTTGCTCTTCCTTGCACCAGGTCCTCCCAAGGTAGACCTCCTCTTTCCTCAGGTGTATCGGAGGTAGACGCAGTCGAGCCTGTTGAGGTAGCTATTGACTCTGGTGCTGCTAGAGGTGCTGAGCCTGCGGGTGCGGGGTCTGGGGGTGCTAGGTCTGGGGGTGCTAAGACTAGGGGTGCTGAGCCTAGGGGTGCTGAGTCTGGCGGTGCTGCGCCTGGGGGTGCTGAGCTTGGGGGTGCGGAGCCTGGGGGTGCTGGTTCTTCTAGTGTGGCCACCGGTGGTTCTTCGTTGAGGCGGGAGCCGCTCTCTCCATAGGAGCTGCGCGAGTGGTTCACCCGCCGCTGGAGACGTGCTGCTGAGTCAGGGGGTGCTGATGGAGCAACTGGAGTTTGTTCTACTGGAGCTGCTGTCGGAGCTGGTGCTGCTAGAGGTGGAGCTGCTAAGGGTGTTGGCGATGGTGTTTCTACTGGTGCTGGTGCGTCTAGGGGTGCTGTTGAGGCTGTTGGTGTTGACGGTTTTACTGGAGCTGGTGCTGCTGGAGCTGGAGCTGCTCGGGGTGTTGGCCCTAGCAGTGCTGTTGGCGCCAGTGCTTCCGAGGGTACTAGAGTTGGCGCTGTTGGAGCTGAGTTCTGCTGGCGCTGGTGCTGCCGTTGGGGGTACTGGTGCCGTCCTTGCTGGTTCTGGAGGCGCTCAGCAGCCGAGGCCGTACTTACTTCTGCTCCCGCCCTCTCTTGGTCGTGCTCCTCCCTTAGAGTGTTCGTAGCCAGTCCTATCAGAGTCACAGCAACGACCTGCCTCCCCGCTACCTGCTCCTTCTCCGTACACTGGTCCTACTAGAGGTCTTGGTGAGCGTTGTGAGCCTGCGTCTTGTCCTGCGTCGTCTGTTTGTGCTGCTCGCACTAGTCGTCGTACTGCGCGTCGCGTGCTCCTGCGGTCCCAGGCACACACCAGATTGCACTGCGTCCTTCCACTGCTCCTCTGCGTGTCCCTTTGCCGTCTCCTCCAGAGTCCTCTCTTCCTTCTCTTGCTGACCCGGACTCTGACTCCCTTCGTGCTGCTACTCCTTCGGTCACGCGCCTTTTTTATACTGTTGTCACTGACCCTTCCTTTGAGTCCACTGTTGCGTCTGCTCTAGTTGCTGAGCTTGTCGACTTCGTTGCTTGCACTCGTCTAGACAACGCTGCTAGTCTTGTTGCTGGGTTTGAGTTTATCTGTCCTCCGTCCGTCGGGGGTGAGTGTGCTCTTAGCATGGACGTCCATGAGGACAGGCAGGAGGAGTTCTAGTGCTTTGCGGCTGCTTTGCCCCATCTCGTGTCCACGCTGATTGCCCCTGAGGGAGACCCCGATGCACCAGACATCCCGACTCCTCGATCGTACGCTGAGGCAATCAAGGGTCCCTACTCTTCTCAGTGGCAGTCAGCCATGGACGCAGCGATGGCTTCCTAGAAGTCCACAGGCATCTACGTCGACAAGGTTCCCCCATCTGGGGCGAACATTGTCAGTCGGATGTGGATTTTCAGGGTGAGGCGGCTGCCGGGATCTCCGCCTGTCTTCCAGGCGCGTTACGTGGCTCGAGGCTTCAGTGAGCGGCAGGAAGTTGACTACTTTCAGACCTTCTCTCCCACTCTGAAGATGACCACTCTTCGGGTGCTGCTACACATAGCCGCTCAGCGTGACTACGAGCTTCACTCTTTCGACTTTAGCACAGTTTTCCTGAATGGCAGCCTGCACAAGGAGATCTGGCTACGCCACCCTCCTGGCCTCACTGGAACGTTTCCTCCTGGTACCTAGTGGAGCCTCCAGCAGCCAGTCTACGGTCTCTGCGAGGCGCCCCGTGAGTGGCGCAACACATTGAGGACTACACTTGCGGCTCTTGGGTTTGCTCCTTCTACAGCCGACCCATCGCTGTTTCTGCGCACCGACACTTCTTTGCCGCCGTTGTACATCCTCGTGTACGTCAACGACTTGGTCTTTGCCACAGCTGATACTGCTGGACTCGCCCAGATGAAGTCCAAGTTGTAGAAGAGACACACGTGCACAAACCTGGTGAACTGCGCAGCTACCTTGGCTTGCAGATCACCCTAGACATAGCACAGCGCACCATTACCCTGACTCAGTCACACATGGTGCAGCAGGTCCTTCAGTGCTTCGACTTGACGTACTCCTCGCCTCAGGCCACTCCTTTGGCTACTCGCCACTCGCTCTCAGCGCTGCCTTCGGATAAGTTTGTAGAGTCGAGTGGCCCGTACCTAGAGCTTGTTGGCTGCCTCATGTACCTGATGACCTGCCCACGACCTGACCTTGCATACCCTCTTAGCATCTTGGCACACTATGTTGCTCCTGGGAGACACAGACTAGAGCACATGGCTGAGGCAAAGAGGGTGTTACGCTACGTGTGCAGTACGTTGGGCATGGGGCTAGTGCTTGGAGGGCGACGTCGAGTGGTCCTCACAGGTCACGCTGACGCTTCTTGGGCTGACGACCTGGCTCTGCAGCGGTCGTCACAGGGTTACACCTTCAGCCTTGGCTCT